CAGGAAGCAGTGCAAAAATATTTTGGTTTTCGGGTAGTATTCATATGAACCACTATTTACTAGTAAGTCTGCTTTTCTCTGCAAAGTTCTGGCTGCAAAGAGGTTGTTTATAGGAGCACTGTCAAGGATTTTTTTTTAAACTGCTTAATATTTGTTTTCACTTTTGCATTGTTTTTAACACCTTCTTCAAAATGTGAAGATAGCATGTTTGCCTCTCCCTGCTTTCTCAGGAAAACATCAATCCCCATCCCTCTCGGCTCCCCTTTCCTATGGTACACAAGCCAGTTGGTCTTCATTTTATTTTTATTCCTTTATCTCACCTACCAGCAAATGAAGAAGTCGTTAGTGATATCAGTTAAGTATATGGCATATGGGAGTGTTAGTTAAATTAAATATATTCTGGTACTTGCCTAGGTGCTTCAGGTGGTATCAAACCTAAATTTTGAAGAATCATAAATTAAGAGGTCATTTCCACTGTCTTTTTAACAGTGCTTTAATTTTGAAACAAATATATGCAGAGTGTACCATATGCAGTCCAATCATTAGGCCCATCCATTGTGGTTTCTTGTGTCTCTTGCTTGCCTGGTCAAGTGTAAGGCACAGAGAACCTAACTTTAGCTCAGCTTGTTAGGTTAAAATTGTTTTAAGGAAACTGATAGGAAAATTCAGTGCTGTCTTCCTAAGCTAAGAACTGGAAGTCTTAACTACAAGTGATAGTGTCATAAAACATTTGGGGTGTGAAGTTGTAATCCCCAGTGCAAGCAAAGTTCACTTGTGGCTGTGAAGAGACTGTAATATTATACAGGTACACTGCATATTAATGAAGCAAAAGTGCAGTGAAATCTGTGTAAAAGACTACCCTTATAACTTTAAGATATCTTTCCCTCTTAATAGAATGCCTCAAAGTGACCTCAAATACATTAAGTTCTGATTCAGCTTTACAAGATCACTGCCATTAAACAACTAATTGTTATAGGCTCCATGAGTGATCATTTGGTTTCGCTAAATTGTAAACCACTCAAAGGAAAGCATTGCATTTAATGTATGGATGCGCTCAAGTATATCCAAAGTGGGGGTTTGGGTCCCAACTTTTGTTTGAGCCCCATACCCAGTATAATGGTACTTACAAAAGTTGAAGCCAAGGCAAATCACTGTTCTCAAAGTAGTCATTAACCTCCACAATAAAGGGTCAGAGAAGACAAATGTGTGCTATGTAATACAGAGTGTGGTGATAATGAAATGCCTACACAGGCCAAAAAAAAATTGTCAGCTCCAGACTTGGCTTATGGCTTTAGAAAAATATAGGAGGCTGTATGGAGAAGCACTCAAAAGCGGTTTTCTGCTCTGCAAAACAGCAGTCTAATGGAAAGCTGATGCATGCCAACCATGCTCTCTTAATTTACACATTTTTCAAAAGTAAATGAACATGTCAAAGTGAGCCAGCTATTCCACTCTATCAACCAGTTTGCTTTTCTTTGAAACAGGTACCAACCTCTACCTACAGAATAGGAGTTCTCAGCTGGCCAAAACCAAATGCAGATCCAAATTTTTTAAAAGGGGGTGTTCCAAAGGCAACCTGCCCCACAACTTGACCATGGCCAGAAGGGAGGGAGAAGCAGGGGTACACTGGGGGTGAAGTGGGAGAGGGCAGGCAGGAAGCAAGCATAGAAAAAAGGTACTGCCCAATAATACCATGTCTTCAGACAAACCTGGAACCTTCTGCAACCACTCCCAGTTGGAGCAGGGCAACACCATCTCTGGGGCTTACCCCACTTTCAGTTCTACTGGAAATAGTGGTGGCAGTGGGCAAGTCCTGTGCAGCTGTAGGGAGTGACTGCATGGGGTGCTGGGCTTGACTGGGATCAGTAGCTGTAGGCTGGTCCTCCCTTCCTGAGCCTGCTCCCTGCCTAGCCCCTTCTCCAGTGTCCCCACCAGCTGGAGGGTGAGTGTTCATTGCACAGATGCACAAGAGGGTGCAACTGTGCTACTGCCCACCCCAAACTGCTCGCAACCAGAACCACCTATGGAAAGTAAGAGCATTTAGAGTTGCTGTTTTTTCATTGGCTACAAATAGATGTTTCATTTGTCCCAGAATAAATCTTTTTATCCCAGGACAATGTGCTGAAGTTCAGAGATCCATGCCCATCCTCCTGGGATAAATCAAAAAAATGTTCACAGGATAAGAAGTACTAGCAGTTTAACCCTGGACAGTACAAACTACATCTGAATGGTTATCCCAGGATGGCATCATTGAATCAATGGCAGAAAAGCAGCAGTGCATTTAGCCACTTGCTAAACCCTGATTAGGATGGTGATGTGTGTGCATGCCAATCCTGGGATATTTCTGTTCCAGGACAAACACAGGCATAACTTGTCCAGTGACAAATGCAACATTTGTTCCTATCCATTATGATGGGTAACCACAAAGGACAGCCACGAGACAAGTGCTAAATTTAATAGAGTTTTACACAAGCTGATCTTGCATAAAAATGCAGCCATTTAGTAACAGGCACTTTACATCCTGTCCCTGGATTACAGCAAAACAACACTGTTGATTTTTGGCTCTTAGGAAATCAGCATAAACAACAGCTGCCTTTTTAGCTGTTAGGCCAGTGCTCAGAAATGCTGCCACCTGGTGCCAGTCTGGAACTATAACTAGCTTCCTATGTACATTGTATTTGGGGTTACATTTCCTGTGGGAAATGTTCTAACAAATACCCAAGAAATCTTAATCCAAAGTGCCCAAAGCTTTCATTCAATCAAGCTTGTTGTTACTGAGTAAGTCACAGTCTGATTATAGTTCAAAAGTACCTGGATATCGCAACTGGCACAACCATTTTATACTGATGAGCTTGTGAAATAAATCCATTCTTTTTGCCAACATAGCAGTTCTTGCATCAAGAGTAAAAGCCAATTTTTCCGCTTGGTTACCTGACAGACATTAAAGCAATTTTCATGTCATTGTATGCTCAGGGAACCCATGTAGTTATCACCCAGCTCATGGGGATATAAGCTTTGGAAAATAAAAGCATCACCATTTATTTGTTCTCTGCAGTGTAGTGTTCATTTCATCAGGCCTTCATTAATGTATGAGTTAGAAAGTGTGGGTTTGGTGGAGCTCAGTCTGGAAAGTGGTATGTTTGTGGTTGAAACAAGGAAAGATTTAGGATTCTGGGGTTCTATACCCTATTAAATATTGACTTGTGCTGCACTGAGTTCAAGTCACTTAATGTATGTATGTATGTATTTATTTATTTAGAGTTATCTCCCACCTTACCTAAAAGGCTCAGGACCTCTTTGTGCCTCCTCACTCCATGTACAATCCAGACATACCAAGCCAAGAGCAGTGCCCTCAAACAAGCTGTACTTCTCTACACAGACTGCCACCTGAACCTAGCAAAGTACTTATGTGTCTGTGCAGCACTGTGGGAGGGCTAATTAGCAGATGGCCAGTTTACATGGTGCTGTTCTGCAGCAGTACTAATTACACCTCAGCACTGACAAAGCTACACTGCTTCTGGTTCAGGAGGCAATCTCAAGGTGACAGCACAGTGTATCTGAGGGTGCTGCTGGTGGTAATAAGTTTGCAGTGTAGACATGACCTCTGTTTCTTCTTCCATTACATGGATGTAATGCTTGCTTACCTTCCATGGCAATGAGAGAATTCACTGTAAATAGTTTAGAATGAGATATTACTGGATTATAGATGCTGCGCTATTTAAAGGCCTGATCTGAAGTCAACAGGCATCTTTCTATGGATCCCCCCTGGCCTTTAGGTTAGGCCATAAGGACAAAGTAATATCATTCTTACTATTTAGGTATACAACTACACTAATAATTCATTTTCAGGTCAAAGCTCTCAAAATGGGACTCATAAATTCACATGCAAGTGCCTAGATAACTAGTCTGATTTTCATCAATACTAAGTTACAGCTACTGAATCATTGGGAAGTACCAGCTGCTTAGCACAGTTGAAAGTAAGGCCATTGAATGTCTATGTTAGGCTCCTAGGTTTAAAAATCTCAGACATAGAAACATGAATCCCTCTATTTCCATTCTTTATGTGAAATCTGAGTTATTTTTCTCAGACTTCAACTCAAGAGGTTAATAAAAGTTCCTGAGTGTGCAGAATTGAAAACTTTAGTAATAAATTGCAGCAATATGATTTCAAAAATACAGCCACTTACAGGGGTTTAAAAGACTCATTCAAGGGCTATATATGTATAGCCCATCCTTATACTGGCCAAGTTTGAGCCCAAAAGCCCCTACTGCAGTGACTGAACAAAACCAAGGGACATCCTGGAACGTGGGAATGAAACTGAGAAGGGCCCAGCCAAGCTGCACAGCTAGCTGGAAGAGAAAGCTGAAATTTGGGTTCAAAATGTGCAAAACCTTGTTTTTTATCAGGAACTCCTGTGACATGCCTGCCAACTTTACACATCAGCATTCTGAAAGCAGACATCTTGGTATCATGGTCTGTCTCTATCAATTATGATTAAAAACTAGGGGATCATATACTGCTCCCAGTGTCCACTGTGCTGCCCTGCTGGAATATATTCCCAAGAGCAGAATTAGGTCCAGCCTTTTCAGAGCCTTCAGTATCTTTCTTGGTTTTTACATATAAGTTTCCATCTTCCGTGACACATTCTCTAAGAGTTATTATCTGTCAAGCTCAGAACAAGGAATAACAGAGTTCTGGGAAGCTATTGATTCTGCCTGAAACAAAAGCAGAACAAATATGTGCCCCAAAGCCCATTTACCCGATACTGAATGCTGTGCATTCAGTAGACCTGTTAGTTAATGATATTGCACATAAGTAATGTTTTAACCATAAACTAGCTTTTGTTTGCTTTGAAAGCCACAAAACCAAAGAGGAAGTGTAGGAGAATGAGGGCAGGGCAGTGGCAAGAAACCTCATGACCTCATCCTTTCCGCCTCATGGAGATTGGCTGACTGAGGGCTGGGACAGCATTTAAATTCCAAAGGGCTGCAGATGTTAAATCAGTGGAAGAGGAGAGCAAAGGAAGCCTGAATATTTTCAGAGCAGATTGGCTTGAGCTGCTTCAAAGCTAACAGCTCCCCTGTCAGCTTCGACTCTTCTGATCCAGATACCAGGAAAGGTAAATGCACATTTTGTTTTTTGATGTCTGCTACTGTATCATGTATTATGTCAGGCAGTAAAGCTTAAACGTCCCAGTTTTTAGTTAAGTTTTAAGCATTCTAGTTCTTCTGTTCAGGGGTGAGCCTTCAGAGCAGTAAAACTGGTGTGAAAGAGGATGCAGCACACGATATTAAATTACAATGTTCAGTCTGTAGAGGAAGTAGTTAGATTGCTGTCACTAGGTCCAATGCTAAAAACTGGAAGCTGCCACTTGGAAACCAGAATTCCTAAATGTCACAACTGTCATGTTACAAAGCACTCTCTTGGCAGACTTCCTGGCTCTGAATCGGATATTTTATATTGTAACACTACTATAATGTCTATAATGTCTTATAATTGGTTGTTTGACATGTATTTTTTTCTGTGTCTATATTAAATCTCCTTCACTGCTAGACTTGGCAAAGACATTTTAAATTTGTCCTCCAGAATCTAACCAAATACATTGTTGTGCAATGTTCTCTAGCACTTCTTTGGAGCTCATTTGCTACATTTTTGCTAACTGCTGTAAAAGGACTCAGTCATGTGGAGGATCTTCTCCATCTCTGTCTACTAACTCAACAATGTCCTGTGGCCTATCAGGAATTATTCACTTCTAAATAACCAAAACTGCAATGTGAACCTGATATTTCCTTTCATTTCCTGCTGCAAAATACAGCCTATTTTCTTCAGATTTCTGGAAAAACTTGATCTCTCAGAAAAGCAGTATCCTTTTATGGAAACGTATGCTTAGATTTATTTATTGCTGCTTTAATTACAATTCTGAATATTTTATTTTACAGTAACTGAAAAAAGACAAAATGTTTTTTTCTTTTCCTCACTTATTGCTGATTAAACATGAAACTGAATCTGACCCTTTAGCAAACAACATTTAGCTATTATTCATAAAGCTTATCTTCATAAACTAAGTCCTTGGATTACAGACTTGGAAATGTACTGAACATCTTCCAGTTCTCAGTGGGAATTGATGTTCCTCAGTGATTTGCAGAGTTCAGGTTTAAATTTTGAGTTGGACTTCAGTAATACATTAGAAGTCTATACTGTGAAATCCTTTAGCTTTGGAGGGGAGGGTGGAAATTATGAAGATGCCATTCCTCTTCTGTGGTTCACAGTAGGGTGTTGGTGATAGCATAGAAAATGTGTGTGGTGGAAGTGAAGGGTCTGTAATATTAGATTATCCAATGCAACACAGTGAAGCATGAGAAGAAAGAGAATCTGTTGCATGTTCCTTACTATTGCATTGCTGACTTACAATAATGTCCTTTTTTTCCCAGGTAAATAGCACAATGAAGATTGCAGTGCTTTGTTTGTGCCTCATCGGCATTGCCTTTGCATTACCAGTAAGTAAATGATAAAAGCTGCATGAGTTGTATGTTTCCTTTGTACATTAGCAGCAAGCAATTCTGAGAACCTTTATTTTTCTTTCTTCCCTGAAGGTGAGTAAATCTAAGCACCAGCCTGATTCAAGGAGCTCTGAAGAAAGAGATGTAAGTTCCTTTTACAGTTAAATTTTTTCTCTTTTATTTAGATCTTTTCTTAAAAAAATTAATGTTGTCATCTCATGTAGGTTAAATGGCAGGTTCTCATTTACCCTCAATTCTAATGGCATTTGGCATTCCACAGAAGGTACTTTGCACAGCATAGGGTAGTGTATGGGGAAAGGTCAATTGGCTGTTTGGGGGGAGAAGTCCATTCCTTTATGTAATTGGTAACAGGCTCTAAAACATATCCCCTTGATTTAACAAGCATGTACCCAACTTTACTCTGACACCCAGGGCAGCCCCAGTCATTGTGATGGTACTACGTTTGTTTGGGAAAGAGAGAATCTGTCCCCAAGACCAAATATAGAAAGAGGTATTCAAAGAGGGGAAAGGTGGAAGAAGCAATTATAATCCCTGTTAAGTGACATGCCCCTCCTACTGCTGAAGGCACTAGTCAACCCACAGGGAGCAGAGAGGCAGTAAGGAAGTAGAAAAATAATTATTTTCCTTCCATGATCCTGGGAAGATGTGTAGTGAGACCCCCAACAGGTATACATGCCCTACATACATATACTGAGCCTGTTGGGGCATTGCTGTCAGCACAACTTCTTCCTTGGAGTGCACTAAAATCGTTCACTCTGAGATAAAAAAAGCAACTTGTTTAAAATATTTTTCTTCAGAAAATAAATGGTACAAATGGCCTGGATGCCAGTGAATGCTTAACCATCATGGCCCACATGCCACAATGACTAAATAGCTACACATGACGACAAAAACAGAACACAGACTGACTAAAGCACTAGAGGTAACAGGGGTAGAAAGAATGAACAGCTGGTGGTCCTGATTCTCCTTTCATTTCTACCAGGGTTACACCGCTGCATTCCCATCAGTGGAGTTACTCCTGATTCCTGTCCATGCTGATGACAGGAGAATCAAGCCTAGCCTTTTGCATATTTGCATGTATTTTATGCAGGGACTGGTGAAAGCCATAAGGTTTAGATGTAGAATCCAAGCTTTTCCCAAACTAAAGAACATTTGCAGCTGGGGTAGGGGGTGGTCAGCCTGGAACTGACACAGGAGCCAGCTGCAAAGTTCTGATCTGATCTTCCCAAGGTTCAAGACTACACATATTATTTCTGGAAGTAGGCACATCTCTGATATTAAGGTATTCAGATGTCAGTATTCCTAATTTTATTTTTACTACTTTTGCTTTTCATTGCAATTCCAACAGTTACACTATAAAGAAGGTAGGTGTTTCAGATGCCACAGCTGCCTGAAAATGGATGCCTGTGATTTTAAGTTTCACATGCAGCTGTAGTTTTGATTATGACCTTGATTCTTATTGTCTTCAAGGATTCCAGAAGCCATCATCATCACAGGCATCACCACCGTGTGCAAATTGAGTCACGTGTGAGTCCACCACGGGCACAAGAAGTTCATGTGCTACCTCAACAGGTTTGTACAACTGCATTGTACAGAGATTGCCAAAGTAGTTAGAAGAGAAATATAGATTCCCCGTGAGTGCAGAGTTTTTGTATCTATTGAGAAACTACAAGATGGCATGTTAGGCCCTTAGTCTTAGCTACAATGGTAAATAATGCAAAAATGACATCTCTCTTATTTCCCAAAATAGTACACTGATGTATACTGAATTAATTTATTAATATAAATTCAAAGATAATAACCAATAAAAAAGGAAAAAAACCCTCCATTAATAGCTATAAGATCATCTCTTATGGCTCTACCATGTCTTTACTTGAGCAAAATTCAACTGTAATTGACCAGACCAAACAAGGTCTTTTTTTATTGGATTAACTGTAGAGTTGGAAAGCAGTATTAGACAAACTTTTGGGTATAAGGGCCCTTATTCAGGTCATAAAGTCAGAGAACATAGGGTTGGAAGGGACCTCAAGGGTCATCTGGTTCAAACCCCTGCATAAATGCAAGAATGCTATTCCTAAACCACCCCTGACAGGGGATTGAGTCACACTCATTGGCTTTAGGACTAAATTTGGACCCTTTAACTGTGATTGTGCGACTACTTGGAACCGGAACATAGAGATTAGAGAGAGTACATCTTTCTAATATCCTACAAAAATGCCCTCCCCTCCACTTTTTATTGGCTTTATCTTTTTTTATTGACTAACTGATCAGCATTTCTCAAATTCAAAATTCTAACAATTTTTTTTAAAGAAAAACTTTGTTGCCAGCTTTTTGTCATTAATACTTATTTTTCTTTTTTGTTTTGCAGACTTCTTTTTCTTCAGAAGAAAGTGTTGAGGTCCCTAAACGGCAGGTGAGTTTTCATCTGCAGCCCAACACCTACCAGATGCAGTACAGCATCCATCATATAATAATGTCCATTTCCTCTAATAACATTCTTCTGGCACTCCTCTGAAAAAATCAGTTCCTAAGTAAAATAAAACTTCAGACAAGGTCAATCAAATGTAGAACAATCAGTTTTCTGAAACTTTCAAAAAAAAGCTCTAAATACAATTCTGTTCTCTTATGAGCTCCCACTGAAGGGATAGGTGGGACCCTTTAAGGAAAAAACACTCAGATAATAAATGAATCTGCCAAAACATACATAGATCTGAAGGAAAACCTTTTGGACATAAGCTGCCAACTACACTTTGTCCCCACAAAGTGAATGGGAAGCCCTATAAGCATCTACTTAAAGAGCTTCCTTAAGGTTATTCTATCTGGAAAGAGCATACATGTTGCTGACATCTCTTCAAGGAGTGTTGGCATCTGTGGAAGATGGATAGATTGTTGCTTAGGAATACACACAGAAACCAAGGGAGTACTACTGCTAGGCCTCTCTCTGCTCTTCTATAGGCAACCTTCCCAAAGTCATAGACAACGTGAACTCTGAAAACATAGGAGAGAAAGCATCAATTCTGTGACAATGCCCCCTACACACCTACACTGTTACATACTACCTACTGAGCACCCTTTTCTACCATGCTCTGCTACTTTCACTCAAGGTATATGGTAGTATGTAACTGCTACCTCATTGTTTCTTGCTATGGTAAAATATTATCTGCCTACCTCAGCTTTAAAATGTATAACAGTGTACTAAATAATGACAGAGCAAGCAAGGTACATTGTTATAATAATACCAATTTCATTTTATAAATTAAATTCAGTTGGATGATGCTCTGTTAATTTGTGCTTTTCAGATATTTCAAGTAGCAAGTAGAAGTACGGAAAGTGAGGATGATGATGATTCCAATGACACAGATGAATCAGACGAGGATGCTGTCACTGACTTCCCCACTGATTTCCCAGTCACTGAGACTTTCCCTCCTTTCCCCCCCACACGGGGAGACAATTCAGGCAGAGGAGACAGTGTGGGCTACAGAATGAGAGCCAAAGCAAAGTTGGTGAAGTCTAGCAGGCACTACCAAGCTACAGGAAAGGTAATCAAGTTTCCAGGAAAGAGAGATGTTCAAGATAAGAATTTGCTTTTGAAGCCATCTGCTATGAAATGATATGCAAGACTAAAAGGGTGTATTCCTAATTAATATAGGTGCCTAACTTTCATTAAAGGTAGCAACTATTGCATACAGACAGCAAGCAGCTAAGCTATTGCAAGGGAGCAGCAGCAGCATGGTATACTCACATGTGAGAACCAAGGACAGTGTAAAATCATATTATACAATGTTTGTGTAACTCTCTAAATATGCAGTAGGTTGTACAATATAGACAGCATAGAGATCTTTGAGAACTACCTAAACACAACAGGCATGACATGTTTCAGTGATGTATTGCAATATGCAGTAATTCACTGGCTCCTCAGAACCTAGAATATCAACTACTTGTGCTTTCTCTCCTATACTATATAGTTCATTGTACATGATGCCACTGAAGAGGACGACAGTACACCAGACGCAGAAAGCCAGCAGGTAGACTACTCCAAACCGCTCCCTGCTGCACACCTTGTTCCAGGAAAATATGACATCAGTGTGGAGTGGGATGACAAAAGCCACATGAAGGATAGCAATGAGGTCACCAGCAGGTCACGTGATGATAGCCATCAGAGACTCGAGAGCGTTGAGGTAGACAGAGATGACAGCAATCCTGATGTCCCAGAAAACAGCCACATGAGCAATGAAAGCAGAGAACAGCATCACACCCAAATTTCAGCTAGTGTCCCTGAAACTGATGCTGACAGCAACCAAACTGCTGAGAGTGTTGAAGATATTCAAGACCATCACAGCCTTGAAGACAATGAGGTCACTATTTAAAGAAAAACAAATATATAACTTTTTTTTTTACTTTGGTGAGGGGGAAACTTTCATTTTAAGAAATGTTTGCAAATGTAAACCAATTGTGATTTTGATTTCTAACTGTAGCAGAGGTTAGTGGTAACTGTATTAACCAGGCAAACTCAAGTATGCAATATTAGCTCTCCTTTTCATTGCAGAAATGTAAGCCCTCCTACTGCATCTGTTACTGTTCTCTTTGATTGTGATTCCGTTATGAAGAAAAATATGTAAAAGGAAGACGAATATAGTTTTACACACAAAGTGAATGTTACCTTTTATGATACTGTACTTCAATGGTTTTAAAATTCCAGTGTATATTTTGTTGTAATGTGTGAGTGAAATAAAACCACAAAATCCTGAACCTCTTCATTTAGTGTGAGCATAATTAAGTGGACTGCACATCTCATAGATCACACTAATTCCTGGACAAGAAGAATGAGCTTTATTTCTATTTAAATGAAGAACGCATTATATTACTTTCCTTAAATATGAAAAATACCTAATCACACAAAATATAGGAGAATAGAAAGATTATGGATTGCTTTGAATATTACAAAGACTTCTAGAAGGATACAAGGGTATTTAAAAAATTTAGGGATGGCTTCCGTAATTACAAAGAGTTTGACTTTGTTCCTAGAGGAAAACTGCTGTTTCAAAAAAATACTAAAGAGACTTAAGGTCTGTATACTCTCATTTACACTTACATTCAAGGCCAGTTTCACAATTTCAAATTTATTCTGCGTTCCCACAAGATCCACACAAACTCACTTCAAAGTAGAAGAAATTTACCCCCAAAATATCATTTAACATTTATGTTAAATGTCAATACTTCCCTGCTAACTGTGGGCCTAGTTCTGGCAAAAGCATCCATTGACTGCAGTGAGCACAGAGTCAAACTCTGTCCCTCTATCCATTCCTTCCTATATTTACACTAACATTTATGCTTTTTTCCATCTTGTATGCTACATGAAGGTATTTCAACAGGCAAAGGAACAGATTGCTCCAGTTGTAAGCCCACCAAATACAGTGACTGGTAATTTATGAGGCAGTTTCCATCCCCTGATAGAAATCCAAAAAGGAGCTTGTATTGTGTGTAATGTTGCCTAGTAACACCAATCAACAAACATGTTTGCCCCAAAATTATCTCAAAATGTACCTATTTATATCAGGACTAGGGGAAATACATATTATTAGTGCATACTAGTCTTCAACTATAATTCAACAAGCATTATAAATAATCTAATGTGTTTGTGCTTTATAATAACACCATAAGTTCGATAGCATAGGATAGAAGAGATTTTCTGATTCTAAAAACTGTTTATGAAGTTGCAGTGTGTTTGCATTTCTGTGAGCCTAGGTTTTGCTTAAACATTTTAAGCAATTTTTTTCACAAGTCTTTTTAACCCAATCAGTAGCCTACAATCTTTCTTCTTGGGCCATAATACTAGAGCTAAAAATACTAATTCTTATTAAGTGTATGTCTTATCAATAGCAATCTACTAACATTACTCAGATGTTGAACCCCATAGTTTTGAGGAAGTATACTTTTAGTACAGAATGTGTAAATTTAACCCAACATGGAGTACAGTTTAAGCAATTGATAAAACAAACAATGCCCATAAGGAATATTTAATCTGTGACAAGAAACTAGCACCTGCTTAAAATTTTACTTCATTATAGACAAAGCCTGAACTGACAAGCAATAAATTAAGGATGAGGAAGGAGAAGAGGGGAAAAAAACATAATAAAATATAATGAAACCAAAGAAAATATATGCTTGCAAAAGTTATTTGTTTTATAATAAATATCTGTAACATATGCTCTGGCATGAGTTAGACACCTTCCCTCCTCTCCTTTCAACAGAGGTAATGCAGTGGAAGATAAGAAGTTCAGTCTTCAGTTTATAGAACTACTCCATAGTCCTCAAAGTTCAGGAAAAAAGCACTGTCCTGAAGTCACAGGGAACTATTTTACTTGGGAGAAAACCAGGAGCTTCCTGGGAGCTACCTGGTAGCTGGCCAAGGGGGATAAAACTAGACAACAAGTGGCCTGGTACGAAGAGATTCTGACTGCTGGCAGGGAGCCAAGAGCATTTAACTAATGAGCAATGGTGTACAGGCAAGATTTGTACATCCTTCTGAAACCCAGACTGAACTGCCCCAAAGGGCAGTTGGGAATTTTTAGATATCTTTGTTTAACTCTTGTTATTTTCAGTATCCCCATTAGAAAGGCTTTCAGTAGCACAGTGTGCATATCTATGGGAGAGTAATCCTGGCAAAATTTAGAATGAGTCTAGATTATTTGGGTGTGTCCACACCTGCAGGTACATGCACTTGCAGCAGCTCAAATAGCAAATTTGTGCCAGGGATTTGTGCCTCAGCACACATGCCTAAACATGCACTCTGGTTTGGGGCAAATTGTGCCACTTGAGGTAAACTGACCCTGCCCAGCTTCTCCTGGATCTTCAGCCAGGGGGAGTTAGAGGCTGGGGCCAGCAGTATAAAAAGCTGTCCTGGCAAGCAGCTCAGGGAGGGCATTTATACACATACATTTGTCTGCCACAATGTGCCAGAGATCTAGTGCACTGTAGCAGACAAAAGACATCAGATCATGTGTGGAGCAAACTTGATTAAGCAAATCTGCTCCGCACACAAGCTGATGTGTCCAGCTCTGCATTGCATACATTTGTATAAATGGCAAAATGTGCACCAGTACTGTGAAAATGGTGGCAGTGTGCTTTTGAACCACAACACCTTTGATTTAGTTCATTTTCTCAGTGCTGACATGCATTTCACCATTTATACAAATGCATGCACCACAGTGCTGGGTGTTACATCGGCACTTCAGCACAAGCATGTGTACAGATGCCTGGAGCTTCTGAAGCCCAGGCAGTTGGTATCTGGGGACAGTAGCCCCTTGTGCCAGCTGGACTGCTGAAGCAGCCCTATCCTACAGTGGCCCCTGCACCCTCTACCCACTGCAGCAGTCTGGCAGTGGGGACTGATGCCCCTCACTCTTAGCCCACAGCTTCACCAGTGCACGTCACTCTGTACCCGCAGCCCCTGCCTGCCTCTACTAGCTCCCTCCAGGCAGCAGCTCCATCCCAGCACCAGGACATGGGTCCAGCTGCAGCCATCCCACGCACTGCTTTGTGGCTTTGAGCAGTGCCATCTCTTAATGTTCTGTTCCCTGTGCCTGTGCCTAGGCCACAACAATCCCCATGCCCTTACTGGGAGGCCCTTGACTGGGGCTCAGGGACTGACTGAGCTGAGACTGGGGAGATTGTCCTGTAGTGACAGGTGGGCAGGCCAACATCAGACCCAGGTCTGAGAGATGCCCCCTGTCACAGTGGAGAAGCTGTGAATACGACACCCAAATATCTATAGATTTTGAGAACTTCGAATTTGGCTCCCCCAGGGCTCGGGCCTTGGGCCGGTGCTGTTCAACATCTTCATTAGCCAACTGGACGAGGGTGTGCAGAGCACCCTGTTCAAGTTCGCTGATGACACCAAGCTGTGGGGTAAAGTGAATACACCGGCAGGCAGGGACCACATCCAGGCAGGCCTGGATAGGTTAGAGAAGTGGGCGGATCTGAACAGGATGCGGTTCAACAAGGACAAGTGCAGGGTGCTGCACGTGGGGAGAGGGAACCAGCATTATGGTTATAGGTTGGGGCTGACCCTCTCAGCAGCACACAGGCAGAGAGGGATCTTGGAGTCAGGATTGACTCCAGGACGAATATGAGTCACCAGTGTGACGAAGCAATAGGCACAGCCAACCGCACCCTGTCCTGCATCAACAGGGGCATCACTAACAGGTCCAGAGAGGCCTTGCTCCCCCTCTATGCGGCGCTGGTCAGGCTGCAGCTAGAGTACTGTGTCCGGTTCTGGGCACCACACTTGAAGAGGGATGTGGAGAACCTGGAGAGGGTCCAGAGGAAGGCCACTTGTTGGCTGGGGGCCTCCGTGGCCAGCCCTATAAGGAGAGGCTGAGGGACCTGAATCTTTTCAGTCTCCGCAAGAGGAGACTGAGGGGGGATCTTGTGGCTGCCTACAACCTTATCAGGGGCCACCAGCAGGGACTCGGGGAAAGTCTGTTCACCAGGGCCCCCCTTGGAGACACCAGAAACAATGGCCACAAGCTGAGGGAGGATAGGTTTAGGTTAGATACTAGGAAGAACTACTTCACGGTAAGGGTGGCCAGAGCCTGGAATAGGCTTCCCAGAGTGGTGGTGCTCTCACCTTCCCTGGAGATCTTCAAGAGGAGACTGAATAAGCACCTGGCTGGGGTCTTATGACCCCTGCCACCCCCAGTGCTCCTTCCTGCCCATGGCAGGGGGTTGGACTCAGTGATCTGTCTAGGTCCCTTCCGACTCATTGATTCTATGGTTCCCCCCATATTCCATGGATATTTCATCAAATGACTTCCCTAACACATTATTTTGGATTTATCACAATTTATCTTGAAGTTATTTTGTCCACAAAGATGCTCAAATGTTGTAATTGTTCTCTGTAATCCAATAGGGGTTCCTGACAGTATAACAGTGTCATCTGCATACATTAAAATAAGAATCAGGCTTACTAATAATTTGGGGGGGTGAAAATGCACATCCTGCATATTTTCAATAATATCATTCAATAACAAAAGGGCCAAAATACATCCTTGTCTAACCCCTTTTTGTATGTGATTTTTTGTGTAAATTCACCCTTCAAGCCCCACCTAACTTGAGCCCATGTATCTTTATAATATTTTATCAACAAATGAAAAAGAGAAGGGTCAATCCCATAATTTATCAGTTTCTCCCAAAGTTTACTTCTATCTATACTATCAAAAGCTCTTGACAAGTCTACAAATGCAATATACAGTGTTGATTTGCGCATTTGCAAATACTTATGTCTCAAATTGAAGAATAAATATGTTATCAATAGTGGAATATCCATCCCTAAATCTGGTCTGATGTTCATGTAATATGTTTTCCCCTTTTACCCATCCTATGAGATGATATAACAAATGGTGCCCAAAAATTACAGCTGAAATGTCGATCAAACTTATAGGGTGATAAGATTGTGGCTTGTTGGGGAGCAGGAGCAGAGGAACCAGGGTGCACGTGTGCCACACGTGTACCCACCTTACCTCAGCAGCGAAGGCAGCAGCTGCAGAGGAGACAATGGCAGGGGTAGCAACAGCTGATTTCCCCCTAAGGTAAGTGGGGCAGAGGGTACAGTGCAGCTGAGGCGGATCCAGGGGGGAAGCCCTCCGGAGCCCTCTTAGCTCGCCCGACAGGGAACCGCGCTCCCGAGCCACGTGCAGGCAGCATGCGCGAACAGTGCGAGCAAACAGGTACGGTCTGTTAGGGTGTGCCGGCATTT